GGGTTTAGGGCGTTTAGGGTTCAGGCTACCGCTCCAACTTCGATGGGTGGGGTTGTGGATCGAAACCAGGAACTCGATGTGTCTCCCTGTTCAGGATTTCCTTCAAACAGCCCTAAATGGGAGTTTCCGAAATAACGGGGTACCTTATTTTGGGGTCGTTATAATAAGGATCCTACTATTTAGGGTACTTTTTTTGGGGTCCCCTATTCTCGGAAACCCCCAAATTCTCGGAAACCCCCAAATTGACGTACGACACCAATGATCGCAAAATTATTCAGAAGACCATCGAACTAGTACAGAACGCCTTAGACCCGAAACCCTAAACCCTGAACCCTAAACCCTAAACCCCTAAACCCTGATCTCAACACTATTCAGAAGAGTACAGACCGCCTTAGACCCTAGAGTCTAGAGCACAACCGGATTTCCTTGAGGCACAGTGCGAGGATCAGCAGAAGGAGCTGGCAGAGGTCAAGGCAGGGATGCGATTCTTTCTGGAGTAACCAGGGTTTAGGGTTTAGGGCAGAATTGTCGGAGTATGTTTAGCAACATCTGGAGTAATCAGAATGGTAGTCAGAACAGTTTAGCAGCAATCGTAATAATAGCGCTTCGAAAGTCGCGTGGGTGTATTGACCCATTTCTAATCCTTGCCAACCCTAACCCCTAAACCCTGAACCCTTCTTGAGTCCTGGGTCTATAGCGTAGGCGCTTACAAGTTCAGGCTCCGGGTGTAAAGCCAGGCCAAAGGGTTTGAAGCGTTTAGGGTGCAAGGTTTCAGACTTGACAGGGCTTGCAGGGTTTTTAGGGTTTTAGGGCTTTAGAGTCTAGGGTTTAGGGCTTTAGAGTTTAGGGTTGAGGGGTTTTAAAGCTTATGTGTTGGGCGGCTTCGTGTCCGCGGCACAAGGCCTGAGGTTTACGGTTCATGGTTGCGCTAGACAGTACCCGCGAGCCGACAAAGCAAGGTTGGGCGAATTCCTCCCACTCCCTAAATAAAGCTTCAACCATAAGCCCCGAACCCCAAGCCCTAAACTCCTAAACCCTAAAACCATAAACCCTAAACTCCTAAGCCCTAAAGTCTGGACCTGCCGGATGACAGGCAGTGTCCTGCTTAAGAAGCCTCTATACCCACCCTGGAAGACACCCTGTTTGGGGTTTAGGGTTTAGGGTTTAGGGCCTTTACATGAACTCTCTGTACCGAAAGCTGCGCCTCAATGCTTGCTGTTTCCAGCATGCCGGGTTAGGTTACTATGACGTTGCAGCTCCGCTCATTATACTATAGTTTGGAGTTGAAGCCTCGGGGTGTAGGAGTTAAGGGTTAAGGAGTTTGTTTGGGGTTAGGAGTTTAGGGTTTAGGCTGCAGGAGTCTAGGGTAAATTAGGAATTTGGAATTTCCAGCTTCTTTTTTTTCGTAGGACACTAAGCCGTGAAGGTGGTAACCCTAGCGAGGAGGCAGATTGGAGGGCTTAGGCTGGGATGACAAAGTTGAGAGGGATGCCCGAAAGAAGACCTGCAGTGACTTGCCTGAAATTTAGAACAGCCTTTTCTACAAAGTATTGACCCTCAAACCGCTCAGCCCGGAACTACAAAACGGCACCGGAAAGCGAACTACCTCAGGACCCATAATGTCCTTGCCTTGTTTTGGGCTTCTGGTCAGACTTAAATTGGTTTCATTCCCAAAAGCCTAACCCTCATTCCCTAGCCGCATCGAAAGCCCCAAGCCTTAAACCCAAGCACACCGAAAACACGTTTAAAGCATCCTCGCATGTACGCGAATGAAAGCCCAAGACCTGTATCAAGAGAAGACCTTGAATACACCATCAAACCATGTAGCAACTCTTGTGTGTCTTAACAGAAGCCTGTGCACCATCCTTATATACCCTACAGACCTTCTTGAAACCGTGTAAAGACTCTCCAAACCTAAACCCTAAACCCTACTTGGAGGATCATGGGACTTAGCAGGTAAGGTTGCATAAGTCGTAACTTATAAGTACCTGAATTGGGGGGGTGTATATGCATATGTGTATATATATATACACACATATGTATGTATGTATGTATATATATATATAATAGAGTTCGGTAACCCACTGTATTTGACACCTTGGCTCTGCCAAAACCCTCGGGAGGCAGCGGCTGCCAAAGCGCAGACAGAGCTGGTCCTTGGCTTGGCCCAGTGTATTTTCTATGGTTTAGGGTTTAGGGGTTTAGGGGTTTAGGGTTTAGGGTTTAGGGTTCCATGAGGTCTACATGCATTTTGGTGTTGTCGGGCTGTATCAGTTCTGTTTTATCGGGGCTTTAGAGAGGTTTTGCAAGGTTTCAGAGTTGCACAAGTCCTCCATAAAGCTTTGAGAAGGGCTGTGGCGGGAGTGGCATTAGCAGCAGTAGCCTTGCTCGAGAGGCAGAACATCGCCCTTGAGGCCCCTAATATTGCTGTTGTCATCCGTGTGTTGCAAGTTCGACTATTGCTGCTATCATGAGCATCGGCTACTGCATCTTAACCTGAAGCCCTAAAGCCTATACCCTAGATCGTTTCATGGGCGTCGGTTGTTACCATCCCGATTGAATGAAGGTCCGAGCTAGGACTCACTACCGAAGCCTCAGGCCGAACGACCTGCTGCCCCGGCGGAGGCCCTTCCGATATTCCTTTACCGCAACTGTGCGTGGGTTCTCCAAGTTCGAGGATACGTATCTGGGACCGGGGAGCAAGCACAGAGAAGTAGAAGTAAGCAGGGCTGCAAGTAGAATCACCTCAAATACTCTCCTTCTGGTACTAAGTACGAAAAAGCCTGTGTCCATGGATCCTCCAAGTAGGGTTTTGATGTTGCTAACATCATCGTTTGTGACTGCTACAGTAGTGTCAGCGCTGCCTAGTACCGCTAGAGAAGTCATTCTTGATGTACCCTAAACCCTTTGCCACCACTACCAATAGTCCCGAAACCCCAAAACCCA